TCTCATTCTCACACACACACACACACACACACACACACACTCTCTCTCTCTCTCTCTCTCTCACTCTCACACACACACACACACACACACACTCTCACTCACACACACACACACACACATATCCCTATTCCGATCTGAGACATTTTATGTGACAATGATATCAAATGATACAAAGTACACTAAGCATGCAGCAGCATACATTTTAGACTAAAGCTTCAAATCATTAATCCTTACACTAGTGTTTGTGAGAAGACGTCTTCAAGAAAGAGAATGTTTGCTTGTGGGAACATTTTTAAGCTGCTGCGTAACATACACAGAAGTGCATGTGTTTGGGTCAGGGGCCGGAGGACAGGAAATAGCACTGAAATTGACCGGTCTGTAGAGAGAGACCCAAACACACACACAGCTGCAGAGAGACAGTCAGTTCAATCACACTTTAACTCCAGGATAATAAAGACTTCTGACAGTATGCGAGGCTCGAACCTTGAACTTTGGCCCAACAGAGATACTGTTTTATACTGCAGACTGATGACAGACTGAGAGCAGACAGTAGCGTGACATTACTTTACACGCATATCCTCATAGTTTATATACACCTGGCTGAAGCTCTAAGATGTGTAGCATTTAAAAGTAGTACAGATCATAAACTTGAGTTTTGCTTTAGTACTGTCCTTAAAAAACAGTAGGCTAATATCTAAACTTGTCAAATATATTATTTAACATCACTCAACCAATCTATATACATTCATTTATATCAGCAACATTTTTATGAGTAAAATCAGATAAATAGCTCTTTAAGATAACAATTGCAGGTTACCACTTTTTGCAGGGTAGTTAATGGATTAGATTTAATAAACTAACAATGAACAGCAATTTTTACAGCATTTTTGGTAACACCTTACGATAAGGGTCCATTAGTTAATGCATTAATAACTAACAATGAGCAATACATGTATTACAGTATTTTTATTAATACAGCTGTTCACTGTTAGTTAGTTAGTTACAACTACTGATTTTGTATTAATAATGTATTAGTAAATGTTGAAATGGACATCAACTAAGATTAATCAATGCTTTGAAGTACTTTTCAACGTTAGTTGACGTTAACTAATAACTAATGTTAAAAATGAAACCTTACTGTAAAGCATTAATGGTAATTCATACATTTACTATTGTGTTATTACATAACCATATACACTGTTATATAAACATGATGCTTGTTCATAATTAATTATGCAATGTTAATTTATGCAATGCAGAAGACACAAATGCATGTAGAAATGAATATGAACCTAGAATAATAAATAATGTAAGCTTGTTGTTTCAATTATTACTTGTTTATTATTTGCGATCGCTTAAGTCAGGTTAACCATACCTAATGTAAACACTGTAAAATATCATTTGGTTTTGATGCAAATGTCAATATGAGCTTCTTCAGGGCAGTATGAAATAAAAATCCTGCAGCTGCTAAACACAATTTTACAGTCTGCAAGCAGAGGGCAGATATCGAACCACTTAACTTAAGTCTAATTTATGAGGTGAAAAGATTGCAGGGGCCACATCAGATTTATAATAGGACTTGCCCCGGCTCTGGCTCTGGGATTTACTGCAGACTCGTTGCATCATCTTCACACGGTCGCTGCTGCTGTGCTGCTTGAGCAACCCTACGCTATGACAGCAGAGGGTTTGTCCACTTTCTCCAATCAGTGTACTCCCCCATACCCTTTATCTGTCCCGTTATCACAGCAGAGCTCTCTCTTCTTGAAGAAACAGATAACTAATGATCCACTCTCCTAGCTGTGCAACACTGATATCATAGTTCTCGCAGTGCATAGGTGCTATCACATTAGAGAGTGCTGCTTAGTGAGAGGAAACATGATGGGGTTTCTCTACCTCTCGCATATATTTCTTCATGAAGATTGCATTGATTATATGTAGCCTTAATGAGCCAAATTACCTTTACGTTGTATCTGTATTTTCAGTCATGCTTGTCTCATTCACTCTGACAGCGACCTCAGATGAATCTACAATGTGCTGCTGCCAAACCATACACCAAATGCTGTGAGATAATTAACTCACTGTACAATAACTAATAGTGCAGACAGAGAAATGAGAACAAACACTTGAACAGCAGTCAACACACAATTCTACACTGATATAGTGACACATTCCTAGAAGGATCATGAATCATTCTTTCTTTGTATTTTGGTAGTGATAGTTAAAGTGGGTAATAATAACAATAAGCACATTGTATTCAGCTCATTATTGCTTTCAGACAAAGGCCTACTGATGATAAGTGTGTACAGTTCACTGCTGTAGAAATAGCGCCACCTTGTGGCCATTTATGAAAAAAACAGACACATGTTGAATACATTTTCTTTAGCTAGATTGATTGTGAAATCTGTTTATACTAGCTCAACTGTTTGAACTAACTCAGTCATCTTTGCCTTTTGGGTTAAAAAAATGTAATGTTAAAAAATGAGCTGAAAAGCTTCAGTTTTATTGTTGCATTCGCTATAAATCTCAAGGTTTACTTTTAGTGGTTTGCCAAAAAGAGTCACGCAATCATTAAGCTTCTCTAAAAATCACCTCACATTGCTATTAGACTTCAGTCTGCTTATATTTCAAAGTAAAGCCGTGTTATAAATATAAAACGCATTACAGATGTCTATATATCCGTATGGAGACAGAGCCTTTGTGCTTGTGTTTGCATTGTGACCCAAAACGTAGAGCAGTGTGGTTTACAAAGGCTGTTTATTAATTTATTTGCTGTTTTATTTAGTACAGTTTAACAAATATTAGCTTAGCATCTTATAGTCACATCACCATTTGGCAGTTGCAAAAAACCTTTGAAATCTGATGAATAACATGATGAATCTTTTGTATTCACTACATATGGTAACAAATCATCTGCAAAAAGCTCATCAAGAAACGGATTCTTAGCTCTTTTTAGAGCACTGTTAGAGTCTCGTTCTCAAAA